TTATCTTACTCTAGTATAGAATATCATTTTCTATGTATATGCTACCTACCAGGCCCTGCAGTTTCCAAGCACATCGTTGCCTATATGGATTTTTTTCGGGCATGGAATAAGAACAAATACCTTGCTTAAATGTTTTCAGGCTTATAAATTGGCAAATTACACCTATATCATCAAAAAGCTCAGAAAAAATCCACAAGTCTGCTGAAAAACTTTCCGATACGGTTCTCGAGCCATTTACTGATTGTCTAATCAAAGCTTTTAACAGAGTCATCGCAGGGGAGACGAAAAAATCAGCTTCACTACTAATAGCGAACTTCAAAAAATATTTAGAGAATATTAAATTCTGGAAATGGAAAGTGAGAAATTGTTTCAACTTCCGCTGATTGATATTACCTTGTCTAAAGAGAGGGTTTTATATAAAAGCCAACATAACCTCCAACCACTTTCATCAATCATTACTGTTTCTAGCTTCTTTCTATGCAATCTCTTGGCATTATAACTACTCAACGCGCACACTGTGCCACGCCGCAACCGGAACTAAGCACAATACGACCGCTGGGGTGATGGCATACTTCGTCGATGGCGCGCAAAACGAAACACTACAAAAATAAAAAAACAAAGAGCACCATAGCCAGTAAGGGCCAACAACACAAACAGGTAACGTAGTCCTTACCCCACAACAACAACAGCACACCGCGTGTTGGAAACTAGTTAGCAGGCCGATTTTCTATTGCGCCCCTCTTTGACCCCCCGGCCACGTTTTGTACCGAGGCATGAAACATCAACCTGACTTGGCAGGTCTCTTTTATGACTACCAACTGCAATTCGTTCGAACTCTACATTCTAAGCAACTCGCCAAAGGAGCCGACTAGCTGCCCAACCGACCGACCGACCGACCGTATGTCCTGGGCGCAGGCCAACAACCAACAGGCTCAAGCATGCTAGGCGCACAATTTCAAAATCATTCCGACCGGCAAAGTCAGTAGACGCCACACAAGTTGAAAGCGGCCCGTCAAAATCGGACGCGTGAAACTCATAAAAGTGCAGTGCGTAATTTTTTCAAGTGTGTTTAAATTACTTTCGAAATTAAATTTCGCACTGCAGTATAATACAACAACAACAACACGAATAATGAATTTAATAATTTGTGTTTTGAATTAATTAAAACTATTTTCAGAATTTTGTCGCCAGCACGAAATTTTATGAACACTTTAGTGCACCACAACAACAACATTATGAACAACAACAAAAATATTTTCAATAATAGTTGTAAAATATAAACGCTGCATCTGGCACAGTGTTTCAAGTGTCATTAACCCGTTATTTGTGTGTAATGTGCAAAGTGTGAAGAAAACATTCTGGAACTGAGTGCGCCGTGTGAGTAAGGACGTTAACGGTACTCGGATGTGTAAGCGTGAAAAGTGGGCGTGCATATCTGCAATTTGCAATCAAATGTTTGGTATGAGTATGTGCCATTTTGTCCGCACAACAATAATAGCAACATAATTAGGTAGTACAATTAGTTTGGGTAAAGGAACGGCTTCATTAAACGGACATTGCTCGGCTATATGCATATGTTTTTGTGGCAGAACGCCCACTTATTCATACAATTGAATATGGAAAGAAAACAGGAAAGTGGACTTCTGAATTTTACTTCATCATAATGAGGAACAAATTATCGGTAACCTGACTGGGTGGAACAACGAAATTTATTTTCGATGAAATTTAAAAAATAATATAAAAAAAAATTTAGGCTGAGAGAAAAAAGTTCTTAGCTTAGTTAACTGTCATAATTATTTTAGAATTTCATAGCTCTGCTACTGCATATTGTCTCTAACTGATGGTATTTTTTCATTAAAAGCAAACAAAAAAGCTACCTCCACAAATCCAAAAAATTTCTTACAAGAACTTTGATAGGACAGTTAGTATGGCATAGTGACTCGATCTGAAATTTTTTTTCGGAGATTGCATTGCTGACTTAAGCAGTAACCCATGCCAATTTCCGTGAAGAAATCTCGGCAAATGAAATTTTTTTCCATACAAGGGCTTGATTCCGATTGTTCAGTGGTATAAAAAATTTTTTTAGATAATAATATATGCCAAATTTCGTAAAGATATATCGTCAACTGAAAAAGTTTTCAATACAAGTTCTTAATTCCGATAGTTCAATTTGCATAACTGCCACATGCTATAGTGGTCCAATATCGTCCATTCCGACAAATGATCAGCTGTTTGATGCGAAACTGACGGGTGTAAAATTTCAGATCGATACATCGATCGAAGGACATGGCTAAATCGTCTAAACTCGTCGAGCCTCTGACGTTTCCTTTTTACAAATATCGTGAGCCTGTTCAGGGTATAACAATTGTTATCGTTAAAGCCGAATCAGCTAAATTCGTAAGTATTACAAAATCAAATATAAAATTCCGACGGATAAAAAATCGAAGATAACAGAATATGCTTTTTGCAATGCGGGTAACAGTAAATGTTTAAATTTCAGGATAGTACTTCTAACTAATGAATAAGCAAAGTTATCTATTACTTCAAATCAGCTGTATGCTTATTGTGTTTGCTTTAAAAATGTCTTGGTTTGTGGAGATTATGTAAAGTAAGAACATTAGAGAAAATTTATAATTGGTCTCGTAAAGTCTATGTTAGACCGTTAATTTTTCTATTTATTTCTGTCTTATGGAACAATTCGTATTCTTCTTTTGCTATGGTGATGGAAACAGTTCAAAAATGGTGAGATACAAAATGAACAAAAAAAAAGATCCAGCTATAATTATATATAAGATCCTTCTCCTAAGAACTTCAGGCTAAAAACTGTGATTTTCACAAAGTAGGTTGCTACCACCAAAAAGCATACACCGGCCTTCAAAACTTGATCATAAAGATTTACAAACCATTCGCTTTGTATTGTTAAAGTTAATATGCGAAAGAGAAAGAAGAAAAAATCTGAAAGAGACAGAATGGCATGTAGAGATAGGAAAAAAGATGTAGATGGAAAGAGAAAGAGAGAGAGATATGTAGAGAGAGATAAATAGATATGGAGAGAGAGATAGAGAGAAAAGGAGAGAGAGAAGTGGAGAATTAAAGTGCGGCGAAAATATGGTCAAGTATTGGCAAAACTAAAGTAACTCAAACTCAAGATCATATTTCAAAAATATGTTGGTTGCTATTTGAAGGAATATAAAAAAATTAATTTGAAGCAGACGTCCTGCATTTAACACATTTTTTTTAAATAAACACTAAATTAATATACATTTTTGCTTTTTAAAATTTTTATTTAGGTTAGTCTTCCTTAGGATCTCTTAACCATATATCGGTTTGTAACTAGGTATACTTCGAATTTGTAAACTAATTAATACTGATTTAAAAAAATCATTGGACTATAAGTGAGCAAATAAGAACTAAAAAATTAAAACATGTAGATTCTCAAAAACTAAATTAACTATATGTTACCATCCATTTATGCAAATTTAAAACGAAATAACGGTTAACTCCAATAACAGTAGCTCACAGCGCCATCTGGCGTACTTTAGTGCCAGTTGTACCTCTGTTAAAAATATACTAATATTTCAGATTCAACTTAGTAAAATTTGCATAAGCATGAAAAAACACAAGCAACACCAACTGCACAGTCAACGTCAACGCCAACGTCGGCATCAGCGTACTTAATCACAGTAATAAACCGAGAATTGACTCAAACACAAGAAGGCATTTTTGAGTTTTGCCACTCAAAAACGTTTAAAAACTTGCTGAAGACCAAACACACCAACAAAACACAAATCACCTACAGCGAGGTAATAACACATACATATGTATATACATTTATTTATGTGTATGTAAGTACGTATGTGTTTGTGCTCAAGTGATTTGCATGGCCACAGGGACACAGTGAAAGTGTTGCTGTGGGAAATGCTAAAGAAACCGTGAAAGGCCAAAAAAACACAGTACAGTGGAAAATAACTGTAGGGGAAAAGCAACAAAGTAACTGTGCAAACGAAAAAATATACTCGACTGAAGGGGCAACGAATTTTATACAAACAGAATACAAAAAAGCAAATACACAGAAATAAAAATATACAAAAAAAATATAAACAATTTTAAAAAACAAATAAAAAATTTGAAAATTTTAATTTAAAAGATATATAACTTGTAAAAAAAAGTAAAAAAGCTAAAAAATATTTATATAATTTTTCAATTATAAACATAAAAAAAACATAAAACCGTTTCAACGCCAAGGCTTGGCAAGCAATTTTCAGCGACAACAAATAATATACAACACCAAACACAAGCTTTCAAAGCCAACCAAATACAAGCAAAGTCTCTCAGGCGCTGATTTCACGCCTCTCACCAAACACACTATTGCTTAATAAAGTAAAAACTGAAATAAAACAGCAACAAAAATACTCAAAGAAGCAAAAATACAACAACAATAAATAATAGTAAGATAAGCAAAAACAACAATACAATTTTAAAGCCAGCTAATAGATTACGCTCATTTAAGCACCTGCGAGCGGCCTCTCTTTGTATAAATCGCTCGTATTTATTTACGCTTCGGGGCCACAACAACAACAATGGCAAATAGAGTGAGTTAAGGAATTTCTTAGCTCAGCTTCCTATAAAAATTAGACACCCTCAACTAGCTAGAGCTAAAGTGAGACTAGTAATGGCTAGCAAAAAGAGAGGAAGCAATTAGAAACAAAGTATAATAATTAGTGCTAAAAAGAGACTATAAAGCGAGAAAAGTAAGTGAAACAGACACTTTCGCTGCTGCGCGTGCAATCTTGAGAGTGAAAGTGGACTTAATAAAAAGTGAGCGTAATAGCTTTCCTCACAAGACGTTTGAGAAAAAGTGAGAGTGGCAAAAAATTAGACTAGAACTTACAAAGTTTGAGTCCGAGAACACACTTCGCATTTCTTTTGCGTTCGTGTGGGTGTGCGAAAACAATTACAACTACAACAACAGAAAATTTCTTCAAACAACTTCAAACGCAATGTCCGCCAACGAGGCTGGGGACGGCGCTGCTGAAGCTAACGAGTCAGCGCCTTCGCCGGCACCTTCACCAGCGCCAGCAACAGCAACAACGTCATCACCACCACCAACAGCACCGCCGACGCAGCAGCAACAGCAGCCACCAACAGCTATGGACGATGGCAATGTAACGGCACAAATTAGTTCTGCTGCACAGTTCGAAGGTGGCGTTTCAACATACGGTGCGGTCAAACAGTTTAACGAGACGAATAATAACAACAGCAACAATACTAATTATACGAAATCGAACGGCTATCAGCATAGTCCGAATAATCATTATAACAACAACAACAACAGCGATAATAATTTTGATAACACTAGCAGTCCACTAAAAAGTCAACAGCAACCACGTGGTGTGGGCCGTGAGACCAGCTTTCATCCCATACAACAGCATCATTTACGTCAAGCGGAGGACAGTGATAATGAAGATTACGAGCTGCAAGGCGCTACTGGTGGCTTGAGCGGTGCACCGATTGGTGATTATTGGCAACAACGTAACGGTATTGTCGGCGCACCGGCTAGCGGACGTCAAAGTCGCGCTCTAAGTCCAACATACATCGATAATATGAGTGAGAATTCGGAGCAACCACCCGTAGTGCCACTCGTACGCTCCAAATCCCGGCCAGAGTTATCGTCCAATGCGCATTTGAATTCCGCAATGAGCGCCGCTAGTCGCTACAATAATCTCTCGTACTGGAAGGCGCGTCGTGTGGTCTTCTATCGCAATGGGGATCCCTTCTTTCCGGGCGTGGAGTTGCGTTATCGTCCCGGTCGTGATATCACCTCGTTGGATAGTTTGTTGGATAAGATTTCGCCGAAAATGGATTTGCCGCGTGGCGCCCGTTATGTATTCTCGATGGACGGTGATCGCAAGTATCACTTGGATGAGCTTGAAGATGGTGCTTCCTATGTTGTGTCCTCGTTCAAGGCGTTCAAGGTGAGTACGCAGACGTTTTTCACCATAATTATGAAAGCATGTGTGTGTGTGCCGTGGTGGTTCAAATATAGTTTCGTCTGGCATATGTGACTGTATGTTGACCTCGTCGTTATCCACATTAACCTACTCTAATTTACTGCTTAATACTCGCGCATATATCAAACAGCGGGTTCCCGAAAGTTAACTCAACTCAACTCAACTTAAATTTTGTTGTTTTTTCTCCAATTTTTCTTCGTGCTTATAATTTATGGCGTGTTTTGAGGGCACTTTTTGTTTTGCATTGCAAATATTGGTGTTAATTAAAAGAAATTCAGAGGAACTAAAAACGTCTAATATATATATATATGGCTGGTATGATATAGTGCTTGTATGTAATGGCCTGTATATGCCAAGCCAACTCTAACTGGAGCAGTTCACGAAAATCACGAAATCAATAAAATTTGAATATTTTGTTTTTGTACTGTTTTGTTCTTACATTTTATACAAGTACTTGTACTTATTTTACTTTCATTCACACCCACTTTTGTGGTTACTATCACAAGCGTCCACTTGACCGGTCTCGGCCGCATTCTCTGTTCAACTATGGAATTCCTTTTCCCAATTCCTTTTCTCCTCTACTTTTACGAACAATTTGTTGTTGCTTATTACATTATTTTGTTTTGACCACAGTGTACCGTAAGCCCGTCAACTGTTGGTCCTTCGTCGTCGAGCATGCTGAAATTGCACTTGCATGCCACATTTAGTAGCCCTTGAAGAGAATTTCTTAACCGGTACGCGATGTACACTGGGGGAAACTTAATGAGCGAAAAATTTTTGCATTCAATCATTACATGAATAAACTTCTTGCTTTCTTGTTGAACCATAAACTCGAGTTTATTGACTATTGCGGGGTTTGCTATTAAACACTACTCACAAACACGGGTTTAACAATACAGAAATATAATTTAACTTACCTTCAACTAAATACAAAGAAATAATTTAAGTCACCATAATTCATGCTTAGAGTTTATGAAGATGTGTAGTTATAAAAATACAAGTCTGTATGTGACTAAATTTAACCTCGATTTTGAAAAATTTAGAGGCATTAAGTTTTTTTTGAGTCGTGAAGGCCCAATGAAATGAAATGAAAGTTGCCTTAAAAGACAAAACCCTAAACACGACAGAGTTTCTGACACTAACTGGAGTACTATATAGTATTGTCGACATTAAGTTTAAAATTGATCAATGTGCCCTTCCGTTAGCGAGATAGGTAATATTAAAGTAGAGGTCACTTTTGGTTATTAAATAGCTAATCGGGTCTTGTGACTAAAATATGATAGTCATTTATTCGAGGAATTACTTTGTTTAATATCAGTCACATGTTATGCTCGTATACACCTAAATTGTTATTACTTGAAGTAGTCGAAAACATTTACGCTTTTACTTTGAGATATAGACAGTGATCCTTCCTAAATTTTTTGCCATTAAGTAGAAATCGGCAATAATTTATACTTATTGAAATGACATTTGACAAAATACTTTTTTTACGAAAAAACTTAAAGTGAAAACAAAACAAAAATGTATATAACAATAAAAAATTGTTTCTGAAGTTGCTTTTTAAAGTTCTTCGAAATATCGCTAATTTAGAAATATAACCGAATAGAGTTGCCACTTATCACGCAGAAAATACTGAGCAAACTATTACTCAACAATAGTCAGATGTAGTGGATCTAATATAGCCTTCTGAAACGCTTTTGGGATGATTTTATATACATAATATTATGGAATAGAGTTTCCAACTATCGGAAATTATAAAAATCTTTCAGACTAATTATTATAATAAAAACAAATAAAATCAAAAAGAAGCCCTCAATTTATATATTTTTTGGATTAGAGTTGCCATCTATCAGAATACATATAAAAATTTAAAATATTATAAAATTATTAATATAATAAAGACTTTTAAATAGAAGCCCTTTATCAAGATATTTTTCGGAATAAAGTTGCCGTCTATCAGAAATTATAAAAAATATTATAACATTATAATTACAATAAAAACTTCTTAATTGCATTAATTTAATTCATATTTTAGAATAGAGAGGCCACCGATTGTAATGTATAAATTTTTTTTTAAGTACTTAACGTATTAAGTATGTTGTACGGTATTGTTTTCAAAAAGTTAAAAGTAAAATTTAAAGATTATTTAAAAATATTAAAATAAATTTCCACATTACCGATGTGATAAATATTTTTTTATGACAAATACTTTTTTCACTTTTTTTTCATTTATTTATCGTTTGCCGCGTCGAGAGAGGGCTACCTCACGAAAAAAAGTTCAATGTGTTGCTTACTTTTTGAAAATTATAAAAATTCTGTTCAAATAATTTTTTCTCAGTGTAGCCTTACATTCCACCCATTTTACTCGGCAATTTCGCACAACTGTGTTACTTATTATTTTATTTCTTTCTTAGCGGCCACTTACTTTGCTGTGATTCTTAAAACCAACAAGCAGTAAAAATGTCACTACCACCATTACAACAGCAAGACAAGCAAGAACAACAACAGTAATATAACAATAAAAAACATGAACCCACCACAGCACAATATGCCAATGAAAAATGAGAAAAAGAGGAAGAAACATTCAAAATTTCGTTGGTTTGAGTGCCGGGTTCGCAATATTTGATTAAAAGAAAGGGTAGGCGAGCAATAGTTGACTCGTTGAGCGTGTGAATTAGAAGGTTGGCGATTGCCTTAAAGCACTAAAACAACAACACGATAGCTTTTACAAGCGCTACATACGAAATCCAGTGAGTTGCTGGTTTCAAGGAGCATGTGGCAAGTGTTGCCAATACATTTGTGTGTGGAAACGTGAGAGTTGGAGAGTGCAGTTAGTTGAGTGCGTGAGTCCATATAATATTGCTCTTTTATTGCAGCATGAGAGTGTGAGCGCAGGGGAGATGGCACTATTTTACACTTAATATTATGAAACTCGCACGCAAATCCAAACAATTAGTTTCCAAAACTTCCGAACGCGACTATGGTCCGCGGATCCACCATATGGCAGTCGTCACCGACTTAGTTTACCGCAGAAGTGGGTCACCATCATATTATACGCTACACCCTGCGGATATCGTCGTCTGTATAACGCAATTCATTGCGACCAAACACTCACATAGACACACATACGACTCAATCAGACTCATTTCGTTTCTTTTCGAGTCCGTTACTCTACATCCTCTGGATTTGTGTGTTGAAGTTTCAAGTCATTTTAGCTTGCCGTCGAAGGAGCTGTAGCCACGTTTTAATTGCTCTCTTACTTTGCTGGTCTTTTGTCGAAGAGTTTTGCTTTTATTTGCTTCCTATTTGCTTTTACCGCTATGCCAACGGTGATTTCATTTTCATTGGCCATAAAGTAATTATCGACTATTAGATTGTAAATTAAAATACTCACATTACAACCTGTTGTTTGTTGGTTTTCTTCATTTTCATGCTGATGCAAGAACTTGTAGAATATTTTGCTTACTAATTGACTTAGTGGTGCTACAGTGGAACAGTGGGGCAAAACGAAGGTAAAAGTATTACACCAAAACTATAGTACCCTTCATAAATAAAAATTATTCCAAAGCAGAGCTTGATTTTGATCGGCCAGTTTGTATGACAGCTAAATGCTATAGCGGTGCGCTCTGAACATTTTGTTCGGAGGTTGTAGCGTTGGCTTAGGCTATAATCCATGCCAGTTTTCGTGAAAATATATTGTCAAATAAAAAAGTTTTTCACACAAGTATGCTAATAGACGGAAGCCTTTATATCCTTTGCAGAGAGAAAACTTAATTAAGGAGATATTTTATTGCTTAAACTCATGAATTTGATTGAAGAGGTACAGGCCTTAGTTTCCTAGCCTTCAGTAAAGCCGTGCCATAATCAACCGCACTTTTTCGATAGTCTATGATGGTTCACAGTTTACTTCATTATCAGAATCCTTAACCCAACTGACATCGTGCTGGGAACGAACTGCATTCCCGTTTTCCTCTTGCATTCTAGCACTGGACCTATAGACCTCGCATTTGCTTAGCAGGCGTTGGTCAATGATAGCTTCTGTGCGACTGCCAAATTCTTCTGGTCTAGAGTAGAACACATACTAACTACTTGCTCTCAGCATGGTTCATCTTGCCTCTTCTTATTTCTTCTTGTTCAATAGGCATCCATACGGTAAGGCTAAATAGGAAGGTGAGCTTTTCTCCTTCATTGACAAGGTCGAAATATCGCGGCAGTCATACTTTCATCCGACCAGAAGAGATAGCCCAGTCTTCATGACTTCACTACAATTTCAAAGACTCGTCAACTACACAATAATTCAAAATTGTCCCACTATGCATCATAGTTTTTTTCATTCTCACTTTTGCTCTGACTTTCAAGCAAGTCCTAACTATTAGTAGAAGTAATACCTATACAAACATACCATATGGTATATGTATATAACTACAAGTTCACTAGAAATGAGCAATTCGTGTAGTCAAGCAAGAGGATGACCACTCTGGGTACCAGGCAAGTATATAAGTATGTACAGCGGAGAAGGTAGAACTATTTTATGGATAAAGTTTAATATGTTCTATTACTCAGATATGAGTTGTAATAAAGGGTGAGCCATATAATTGCTTATCTCCGAATTTACTGCGCTGATTTTAGTTTAATACAAGTATTATATCAGTTTCTTTTTAACGAGTGTACAAAGAACGCTGAAACTGTTTGCTTTTTGTTTTTGCGAGCGAAATTAAATATTTTTCGAGTTACACGAATAATATATTGTCCGTACTATAACAGACAGTCGAAAAAATATCACATATTGACAAAATGACGGAAAAGTGAAAAAAAATTGAATTTACCCAAAATTTTTATCGTTTTTGGCGTGCTAATTTTAATTTTTGATCACATAAAAAACTGATTTTCATTTCACGCCGAACTTTATACAGAATATGTAGAATAATTTGATAGTGATTGAATCATTTGTCTCCAAGTAATTACTCAAGCAAATTAAGAAAATTCTGTTTTAAGAAACAGCGATACAGTGATAAGCTGTGACTCAAAAAGGATTTCAGATATTGATAAAATTTAAGTATGTTATTTTTAAAGGCACAATCTATCGAAATATAAATAAATCGATTTTTTTTTTTAATTTCACACTACGTATGCCTCTTAAAGTTAGCTGATAACGAAAAAGGGTACTTTCAGCTATAAAGCCCATCGCCCGACAATAAACTCTTATATCTAGATAAAACAGATGTACTTTACTTGTTTTATTTGTGATTTTCGGACTACCCGTTACACAGAAACTACATTAACCGTAACATATATTCATAGCACAACATTCAAATATCAACTTACATGCAAACGTTTATACACACATACCTACATAAAGTTTAGAAATATTCTCCACTCCGATTTATTGCATTTACATGATTTTGCGCGTGTACATTTTATGTCGGAATATATGTATATATATATATATATATATATCGTATATAAGCATGTCAGTTGTGGGATTTTTTGCTTCCCTTTTGGTTATGTTGAAATTAAGTTATAAAAATGAGTGCTTGTGCGAAATAATATGCAAATGGTCCTGTGCAAGTTTATGATAACATTTCCAAATGCACACTCACTAAAATATATATACAGCAAACATACACACATGCGCCCTATCAAAGCAAACTAAAATTGCTTTACAATTTTTTTCCATGAAATGTGAGCAATACTTTTAATTGGGTTTATTTGTCTGC